TGGTCTAATAATTTTAACTTCCGCCGCCGCGCCAACCACACTGTGTTTGGTGCAATGCGTGAAGTATTCCTGCAGTCTTGTAGGCGCTATGCTTTTCACGCCGCGCTGACCGCCGACCGCTCCGTGTTTGGCGCAATGCGTGAAGTATTTATACAGCCTTGTAAGCGCCATGCGTTTCACGCCAACCGCTGCTGACCGCACTGCGTTTGACGCAGTGCGTGAAGCATTCGTGGAGTCTTGTAGGCGCTAATATGTGTTCCATGCTGACCGACGCGCCGAGGACTTCTCCTTTTCATCTCAAGTCCGTGTCACCATTGCTCTCTGCGCCGCGCCGTTCCAGGCCAACTTACGTGTTCGATTTCTCTCTTAAATTGAGTAATGAAAGGTGCTGTCTCTCTCTCTTGTATCACCGAAAGACGGAAAAATTAAAATTACTATACTTTAACTCTTAGGAAATGAGAGATTTTTTCGCCTTTTCTCGTTTGTAATGTTTTTTTCTGAATCAGATTTTTTTTGATACCTACGTTTGAAAAAATTGCAAAATTTGCCGCCATGGGCTGCGGCCCATGTGGCCACCCCCTAACCCGGCCCTGGGAGGAATTTTTCCAAGATCTTCTCCAGCAGGGTGATATTCTATTTCATCATCTGTTGGCTTAAAAAAATGGAAGCTAATGCTCTGAAAAATTCAAAAGAACATACCTAGCCAAAGTTTGTTTTCCTTCCTTGACATAAATACAAAACACTGTGGCGACTCTTGAAATTTGGCAACGCTGTTTTTCCTACTTTTGAAAGTATGTAAACAATCGATTCTCGAGGCAGCTTGTCTCGCCTGAAATCGATATTTTTAATGGATTCAAAGGGAGGATTAACAGTGTTTCCAACCTAGTATAATCGCCACCGCTTAAATAACCCAAAATTTGACCAGATTCATGAGCGTATCGGGACGAAACAGACGAAAATTCGACCCCAGAACGAATCCTCTCAATTCCCATTGTCTAGTGGTCCGATTTAGGACGAGCGTCGTGTCCGGAGATTCGGCAACAGAGCATGAATAATTAGCGATCGACACGCGTGAACACGGGATGATGATGGTCGCCCCGCGGAGGAATATTCGAATTTTCGAATTTTCCCCGTGAGATCCGCTGTGAAGTAGGCGAATTATTCCTTCGGAGCGGCAACTCAGCGGTGGAGCTTTGGAATTATTGCATCGGGATCGACCTTTCGGGGAGTAATAGCTGCTCGTCGCCAACGATGTGGTAACTAATTGCCGCGAGTTTTGAGCCGCGCTCGGAGCATCGGCACGGAACTCACGCATCGGTGAATGACAGACGCGCCGACTGGAGCACGTACGTAAGAGTACGCCATAGAGAAAAAAAAGGAGGTGTTTGCATCTTGAGGTTTTGTACCCACCTACGTCATCAATGTAAACAAGACGCTCGTTGAGGGTTATGTTGACGCTGTAAAAACGGACCATAATGTCCGATTTTTTTACTTAAATCAACTCTTTATTTAATTTCAAGCACTTTTTATAGAATGACTTTTTCCCTTAAATTACACCATTTCCAAGAAAATCGACAGGATAAAAACGTCGCTGTACCCAATGACGTCATCAAAGCTA